AAGCTACAGCAAATAACGGCATAATAGTTCCAGGAATGCTGGTAGCTGTTTCTTGATGTGGAGTTGTTGAGTTTGAAGTAAAATTTTATCTGCACCTGACTCCTCCCACCCCCGGTCTCCCCGCAGAAACACTAGTATTGCCTTTAAGTGGTTCCCTTGCAGCAGTGGCCTATGTAAACAGTAGTGATTCAAAACCAGAACGGCCCTGTGGAGTGAATCCTACCATGGTTCCTGCTGGTCTTCCTTGCTTCTGGACCTTTCCCTGAGCCTGGTCCTCCAGCCTTGCTATAGGTATTGTCTTTTCCATGATATTTCATTCAAAATTCCTTTTCCATTGAAGTCAACCGGAGTAACATATAACAATAAACCATGAATTACGCAGTTTGTATTTTTATCTTTCAGCTACAAAGGCTGTTTAGTAGCCCACATCCTATTAACTTTAATTTCAGGGATCATCTCTGTTTCTCACTGGAGAATACTGGGAGAATAGTGGTGGAGATAACAAATTAGGGAAATGCAGATTAAAACCAGAATAAGATATTATTTCATACCCACCTAATTGTAAAAAATATGAAAATTCTGAAAATGCCAAGTGTTGGTTAGCATGTAAACAGTGGTTGGACTATAAAATGGTACAACTACTTTAGAAAACAGTTTCTAGTAAAGTGGATGATGTGCACAACTCCTGTAACCCAGCAACATCTACTTGGAAGAATAGATTGTAGAGAAAGGCTTATTCATACGTGCAGGAGAAAAGTCCAAGAATGTTCACATGGCATAGTTTGTAATAACTACAGGAGAAATATGAAAGTACCCCAAACGTTCGATAGGTAAATAGACAACTAGCTTGGGATGTATTTATACAATGGAATATTGAACAGCCATGAAGATGAAATAATTATAGAACATGTCAACATAGATTAATTTTATCAATATAATGTTTAATGAAAAAATGCAATTCACAGAAGGTTGCAAACAATGATTTCAAGTGGTATAATATTTGAAAAAGGTGAAGCTAAACAATATTGTTTGGGGATACATAGAAAAGTGGTAAAATTGAGGGTGGAGTTACCTTTAGAGAGAGGAGAGAAATTTGAATGAGGAGGGGCACACAAGGGAACTTCGTAGGGATGGTAATAATCTATTTCTTAAGGTATTGTTTCTCTAATATTTTTGAAACCACTTATATGTCTTATATACGCAGTTTTATAATTACAAAATAATCATAATTTTTAAAAAGTGATTTTGTGACTCAGCTGGCTGCCACTTCAAATGCTCATGAATTTGAAAAAAGTAATTTAAAAAAAGAAAATATCTTCTGCCTACATAGCCCTGTTTACCTACTAAACAGGTTTGGTTTTATTTGTAAACATAGGATTCAACGTCTTGTATAGTCTTGTGCATCATGAATCTCCAAGAGAAGAATTTAAAATTCCATAATTTCCAAACTTTTTTAACCATGGAATATTTAGACTTGGAATACCTAAAATACAGATATGGTTTGAGAAAAATACTTTTCTACAGATGTGTCCTAGTTCTGTGCCACACCTCCCACCCCCAACTCAGAGTTATTCATTTCTGCATTCTTGGTCCCAAACCCTAGCTGAGTGTCTAGGACGGACGCTGCTTCCCATCTGCCTACCTAGACTCCTGTTCACTGCTGGCTCCTGGGTTCCTAGAGATGTTGCAAAACCTGTTTGCTTGGAAAAGTCCACATTCTGGCCTTCCACTCTGGCCTGAGGCAGGGTTTTTCAGGCCCGTCGTCCTCCACATACCCGTTTCATGCTGTGTTCTACCTGCAGCACTGGCGTTCCTCCCAGCACTTGCAGTGGAGCCTGTCTGCTTATCGCTTACTCCAGCACAGGAGGCAGTCATTCCAGATCATCTAACCCCGCCCTGCTCCCCAACCAGTCAGATCACATTGGATGTGACCTGACATAAAGTCATGAAACTTGAAAATCATATCCCTGGGGACAGGCAGAACTGGAGTGATAGAGAAGAAAAGACTTAGGTAGACAGGCACCAGAAAAGTATTGCGGCATTTGCCCGTGAGGTCACCACTAAACATGTGGTCATTTCTGAAGCTCAAAGTCTAGCCCAGAATCATAGCTGAAATCTCTGGGTCTTCCAAAGTGAAGAATTGGCCTTAATAGTTGATTAGTGGATGTGACTCAAGCAAGCCAAATAGCCCACAGACAAACAGACCATGGAAGAAGAAAGCAGCACCACCAGAAATCTCTGAGATAGACAAGGAGAAGTCTACAGGGCTACCAGGCAGTGAGAAGCACAGAAATGCTATTGTGGAGGATCTTAGGAGGCAGGACCTGAGTTCTGGATGATTGCAGCTAAGTGTGGAGCCAGGTGAGTACTGTTGTGACTGTATTTTTGTCCCCTCTGTTTCTCTCTCCATCTCCCTGACTTATGTGGCCTACGGAAAGATAAGTTATGTTACAAATGGAGTTCAAATTAATATGTTATGACTTACTAAGTAGCGTTTCAAACTTTAAGACAAAAGTCAAACAGTATAGGGTTCTTTATTTAAGCAGTTCTGGCTAGCGTTAAATGAAAAGGAATATTTTTGAAGAATATCAGATAACTCACAAAATCAACAGAAAGCTGGAGAGTAAGGCCCAGAAACACGATGGAAACCCAGGATGACCAGTGGGGACTAGCCAGGGCCTCAGGACCCATCTGGGTAGGGCAGTGTCTGTGCTGGTCTAGGCCACCGCAGCCTAGGGGTGCTCAAAACCAACAGGGCTGACTGCCAAATCTCAAAGGCTCTGCCGCCACCATAAAGAAAGTCTGACCTGTTTCAGATTCTTAGCAAAGTTCTCTTAAAGTCAAAGTGTGATATGGTAGTGCCTGTTTGGCTGAACCAAGATCACAGGCGAGCTCCCACATGGCCTTTGGGAGGCTGGGAGAGAAGAACTCTCCCCTTTGGTTTCCACTGTGAGAGAAGAGTAGTCTGCACACCCAGCAGGGGGTGGGTGGGGGAGTCCCAAACCCAGAATGGTGCAAAGCTGGCTGAGCAGCACAAAGAAATGATGACTGTTCATTACAACATTATAATGTTGTGTGGTGCTATAAACTAACAGTATTGTGAATAGTAACTATTAAAATGAGTGTGAAATGACTTAATGTGAATAAATGAAGAAATGCTGTATGTGTGTGAGTGTGAATGACTATGAAGGTTGCCAGCTGTGAGCAACAAGAGGATTGCAAGACAAAATCAAAGGACCCAGCTTCAGAGGCGACAGCACAGAGGCCACAGAACAGAACTAGCACAAGGTTCCCAGACCTGCAGGGAACCGACTGAGGAAGAGCTAGAAGCTTCTGTCAGGCTGGGAAGGAGCCTCAACATGAACAGAAAGTCTCCCTCCCCTAGGCCCAGAGAGGGCTGGTACCTCAGGGGTCTTCTTAAGGAAAAGCTGAACCGAATAGAGCAAGTTCTTGCCAGTGGAACTCCCCCAGCGATTCCATTTCAACCATGGCTGCAAATGGAGAGTGGTCATCTTGGAGTGATGGGGTTCATAGGAAGTATTTATTTCTGTTTAGAACATTCATCTGCTAAACTTCCTGTGGTAAACGTGTGGCTTTTATAATCAGAAAGAAAGGGTGAAAGAAATAAGACAAACTTCAGTGAAAGCTGCCCCTTTCTTTTCTCTTCCTGTAAGAATAAATAAATCATCTTAGGATAGCAATTAGAAACTAAATGTGCAAGAGGGAATATGCGTCTGGTGTGTGTGTCAAAGACAAAATTTAGCAAATTGTAAATCTGTAAGAAACTAGAACATGGCCCTCATGGCTTCAGTTTGGACTGGTTTGGATTGGGTTTTTTGTCAATTTAATTGCTGCTAACTGGGTTCTCACTTTGCAAATAAACAAACAAAAACCCGAGGCTTCTTATTTAATTTGAGAGGACAAGGGTCTCTATCTTTAGGGTCAACACCCTGCCTTCAACTTCTTCCTCCACCACACTCGTATTTTTCTGGGAGACCCCTCTGTTGTTCTCCAGAGGAGCCCATTCAGCCCCCAAAGAATGTGCATAGATTATTTTGTTGCTATCAGGAGTGGCTCCTTGGAGCATGCAAATGTACCCTGCAGCAGGTGCCAGCTCGCAGAAGGTTAAACACCAAGGGCGCCAAGCCTGCAAAAGGGAGGCACCAATGCAGGATATTCAAGTCCCCAGGGGGCAAAGCCTCTTCATATTCTAGACACCAGGGCAGGGTAGAGAAGAAATCCAACCCAGAGAAGCATGGCGAGTGGTGTGACTGCAGGTGTAGTACAGAGGGATCATTCCTAGGAAATCCACCTGAGGGAAGGCAAGGGGAAGCCCCAGGAAATGGCTGGGGCACTGGAGATCTGAGAAATCTGAGCTGAGAGGCAGGCAGTGTCTGTTTTCATGCACCACATGCCCAACCTAACCTGGGCCTTCAGGGAGCTGTCCACACCCTGTCCACAAGCCATGTGTTCAGGATTTGACCCACAAGCCACCCAGCCTTGTGTACCCATTCCATACCCCATTCCGTATTCTGGTCTCTCCATGTTTATTGTCCCTGCTTCCTTGGTCCCTTTCCAGTTCTCTACTATAGCATACCTTTCTTACTAAAGAAGTAACTCAAAGCAATTCATCATGCTTCTTTACTAGAGACAAATCAATGCTAAGAAGTGGTAAAAAAAAAAAAAGAGAAAGAGAAAGAAAGAAAGAGAAAGAAAGGAAAGAAGGAAGGAAGGAAGGAAGGAAGGAAAAGAAAAGAAAAGAAAAGAAAAGGAAAATGTTTTTTTTTTTAAAAAGAGCTCCTTAAAGAGATTTTCTCCCTTTGTAGTGAGGGGAATTGAAAGAGCACTGAATAAAAAGAGAATTGTACAGATAAACAGTGGTATACCAAGGATGGAGGATGGGGAGAGTTGTCCATCAAGGTGAGGAATATTTTATCACTGATGTTGCTTAGAACTGTCAGTGCATGATAATAATAAAAAGCAGACCGACTTTTACTTGCATCTGTTATTGTTTTAAAATTCTACATAGACATTGCACATCCTTATTTCTTGCATTCAAGGCAAAGCACTCCAACCTCCCTTGGTACTGACCAGCTCTCTGAGTCTTTCTGTGTTCCAAGTGAATCTGCACATTGCAAACGTTTTCGTCAATAGCCTTTGATTTCTCGATCCATAAAATGGCATCCACGAAGCAGAAACAATGGAGGCCAGGGGAGATTTAGATATCATTTAGTCCAATCCTCTCATTTCACAGTGAGGGAGATAGGTGGAGATAGATGACATGATTTGTCCAAGTTGGTGCCAGAGCTAGGTCTTAACCTCAAGTTTCTGGTTCTCTGCATCCAGGGCTGTATCTAGTACAGAAAGGGGCAGAGCTAGCTCAACATTTTACAGTTATTTTTAGGTCCCTTTCCCAATTCAACCAATAACTTTCTCTTAACTATTGAAGGCTCTAATAAAATAATGTGATCTCTGCCTGAGCCTGAAGACAGCTGTCTCAGAAGAGGATCAAAATCCCTTCCCTTACAGCCACGCGAACATGGACTTGATAGCTCCCCTGGATTCCATTCACAGAATATTTCTGCATTATTGCAATAAAAAGTGCAAAAAATCCCCTTTCCCAGGCATGTTGCTTCCTGCACTGCTCCAACTTTTATAGCTTCTTCAACTGGCCACTCCATGTAGCTCGTAGCATTAATTATTCTGCACCCTTCATCTGGAAGCAGAACTTCTCTAAAACCTTCAAGTTTTCCTCAGCTCCAGCCATTGCAGCAACCCCAGCACCTGGGAACCATGAGGTCATTGCCACCTTTCCAGGTCCTGTTGATATCTTAGAGATGCAGTAGTGGAAAACATTAGCATATCTGGAACTCAGTTATGTTTTTATTCTTCCATCCTTGGCCAGAAGAAAGTTTCTTTTCCCAGACCCCTGTGTTACAGAGATGGGCATGATGGCCACGGGTGCTCTCAAAAACAAGAAGATTTAACATCAGCTAGAATAGAAGTTCTAGAATGAATGAAGCAAATCAGCTCCTCCTGCACTGGAGAAAATCATGACCTGGTGCACTCCACAAGCAGGCTGATGTTTTTTCCAGTTGTCCATTATTTTTAGATTATCCATGTCATTCTTCTCATTAGCCCAAGTCATTGAGAGTTCACAGTTGGTATGGCTGAATCATTGCCCAAGTGACTCAGCCTCCTGATTAAAAACAGATCAAAAAAGCTTGTTAGTTCATCATTACTTATAGAGGAAAGGTTCAACTCCCGAATGGGATGTTCAAGGCTTTCCTAAACTGGCCCCAATCAACCTCGCCAGCTTCATCACCCATCATGACTGTAAAGCTCTTCTCTTTCCTTCTCACACTCCCACTTTCCATGTCTAATGCTCACTCATCCTCCGGGACTCAGCTTAAGTCATCTTCTCCAAGAAGTCTACTTTGACAGCATCTGGGTCCTTACTCAGAGCTCCCTTACCTCCATCTCAGACTTGTCACTCTGCTTTCATGCTTCCTTATCTGTTTCCTCCACTAGACTGTGATCTCTAAGGGTGCCACTGCATAACAAATGTGTGACTGTGGACAAATCTTTTACCCTAAATTTCAATTTCATCATTTGTAAATGAGAATAAGAATGGTACCCTCTCTGGCAGTTATTGGGAAGAATACATGGGTTAATACATATAAAGCATTGAGTAAGCTCTCAATAAATATTTGCTATTATTATGATCAGTATTCAAGGCATAGACAAGGTTCATAATTCTTGGTCTTCCCAATACCTAACTCAACACCTGGCACACAACAAATACTCAACAATTGCTTGTTGATTAAATTAATAAATAATAAATATTCCATCCAAACCTATTTGCCATTTTCTAAACACTCTATGCCTTTTATGGCTCTTTGTCCTTACACACTCTGTTTGGAATATCTGTTACTCCCTACCCCCCTTACCCCCATCCCTTTTCTAACTTCAAGACTAAGATCAAATATCATCTCCTCTTTTCTACCTCCCTGGGCTCATGGAGCAGATTTTACTGAGTTTACACAGAACTTTGTTCATGCCATTATGATCATACTCATAGCATTATCTTACAATTATTATAATAGTTTGCTTACAATACATTAATTTCTCCATCTCTACAGTGAGCTCCTCTAGAACAACGACTGATTTATACATTCCCAAACCCAGTTCCAACTCAGTAGCTAGCACAGTGCTGGCACATTAGGCAACTAATTGACAAAGAATAGATTCCCCAGTGAGTCCGGAGGTTGATCCCAGTGTTTCAGAGACAGTGAGAAAAAATCTAAGGACCTTTCCTGGATAGGCAGGGAATATGGCTGTGTGCTTGGAGCAACACTGCCGTTTCTTTATTTCTGCTGCTTACGATGCAAACACCTTAACAGTAAAGCAGTCATTTAAAAGGGAAAGAAGCATCATTCACTATACTATTATGCTAACACATCAACTGCTTTCATTTTTCTTTGTTCCCCTAAAGTCTTCTACTTATATGCATGGATAAGTTTGCACGGTTGCACTCATAATGTAGACACATTTTAGCATATTACTTTTTTACTTAACCTTCTCTCATAACATATTTGCAAGTTACTATACTGTCTACAAAACGATTCTGGCTGCATAATATTCCATTTGATGATTTTAAGTTACCACTATTAAAAATAATGCTATATCAAATATCTTTTCGCACAGAACTTTTCTTCTTCTAATTGGTGGGATTTTTTTCAAATATTTCTTTCTAAGATTTTATAATTTTTCTGGAGCCTTGACAAAAGAGCTGACTTTTTTTTTTTTTTTTTTTTTTGAGATGGAATTTCGCTCTAGTCACCTAGGCTGGAGTGCAATGGTGCAATCTTGGCTCACTACAACCTGTGCCTCCTGGGTTCAAGTGATTATCCAGCCTCAGCCTCCCGAGTAGCTGGGATTACAGGCACTTGCCACCATGCCCAGCTAAATTTTTTGTACTTTTAGTAGAGATAGGGTTTCGCCATGTTGGCGAGGCTGGTCTTGAACTCCTGACCTCAGGTGATCTACCCACCTCGGCCTCCCAAAGTTCTGGGATTACAGGCGTGAGCCACCGTGAACAGCCAAGAGCTGACTTTTTCTTTTAAATCACAACAAACAAACAATGAAGTACAGAAGGTCAGTTAAGGCAGAACCCTAGAATCATAGTTCTCAGTCTCTGGACAGGCTTTAGGATCCAGAGGATTATTTGAGGATCTTTTGAAACTACCAATGTACAAGCTTCACCCCAGATCAACTGAATCAGAATTTGGGAATGGAGCAATAGAATGTTTTAAAAGATTTCCAGGTGGTTACAATGCCAGTGAGAACCACTAGTCTAGATTCTACTCGTCTCTACCAGGTCAGATAATTAGCAAGAGCATCATGGCAAACAGTTTGATGAGTCCTTGTTCTAGAGCAGAGACTTTGATGTCACCTGCTGGAGGTGGCCTCTCTGGACTACAAGGATTAGTGATATGCAGAAGGTCATTGGAGACTCATGGGACAAATCTGACCAGTCTCTTAATTACTCATTCAAGAAGTAAGTTTTTGTTTTTTTAGACAGGGTCTCTCTCTGTTGCCTAGGCCAGAGTGCAGTGGCACAGCTGCCTGCAGCCTTGACCTCTCAGGCCCAAGCGATCCTCCTGCCTCAGCCTCTTGAGTAGCTGAGACTACAAGCATGTGCCACCATACACAGCTAAGTTTGAAATGTTTTTTGTAGAGACTGGGTCTCATGATGTCACCCAGGCTGGTCTTGAACTCCTGGGCTCAAGCGATTCTCCCACCTTGTCCTCCCAAAGTGCAGGGATTACAGGTATGAGGCAATGCGCCTGGCCAAGAAGTACTTACTGAGTGCCAAACTGAACAAAACTACATCACAGTTTTGAATTCCAGTCAAACATATCCCATGGCCTGCTCTACATTCTTGCTTAAATATAAACAGATATCTTGAACTTGACATGTTTAAAATCTAACACCTGATTTATCCTGATCAAACCAGCTGGTTCAACAGTCTTCCACATCTCAATTAATGGAACCTCCTACCTTCTGATTACTCAGGCCCCAAACGTTAGTATCATCCTTGATGCCTCTCCTTCTGTCACATTTTACATTCCAACCCATCAATGAGTCCTTCAGGTTTTCCCTTCAAAATACATCTAGAATCTAACCACTTCTCACCACCTCCATCCACTGTCATCCTGCCTCAAGCCACCAGCATCACTTGCCTGAATTATTGCAATAGCTTCTGAAAAATTCTCCCTGATTAACCCTTGCCCCTTGCAGACTTTTCTTCACATAGCAGCCAGAGTAATTTTTTAAACCATAAGTCAAATTATACCACTTGTCTCTAAAACTTCCAGTATCTTCCAATCTCACTCAGAGTATGATGTGCCAGTTTGAGCCATGGAGATCCCAGATGTTTGGTCAAACATTATTCTGGGTGTCTCAGTCAAGGTGTTTCTCAATGACATTAACATTTGGATCTGTTGATAGTAAAGCAACTTGCCCTTCTCAGTGTGGGTGGGCCTCATCCAGTCAGTTGAAAGCTGACTAGCACAAAAGGGCTGATTCTTCCACAAGTAAGGGGGGACCCCTCCTTCCTGACTGCCTTTGAGCTGAAGCACTGGTATTTTTTTCCCCACCCCTCAGGTTTGAACTAAAATATTGGTTCTTTCTAGGTCTCTGGCCTGCCAGTATGCAGACTAGAACTACACCATTGAGTCTCCTGGGTCTCTAGGGTGCCAACAGCAGATCTTGGGACTTGTCAGCCTGCATAACTGCATTAGCTAATTCCTTATAGTAAGTCTGTTTATATATACACCCTGTTGATTCTGTTTCTCTGCAGAACCCTGACTAACACACAGATCCAAAGTCTTTACCAAGAACTCCAGGGTCTTATATAATCAGACCTCTTTATTACCTCTTCTTCTCCTCTCCATCTTCCTCCTCATTTCCTTCCTCTCCCCTTCAAATGCTGTGCTCCCACAATGTTGGCCTCAAATGAGTCAAACATGTGTCCACCTTGGGACTTTTGCACCTGCTGTTCCTTCTGCCTGGAAAACTCTTGTGCACAGCTCACTCCTTCACTTCCTAAAGGTCTCTTCCAGCTCACTGATGTCTTACTGGAGAGGACAACCTTGACACACCCTCTGTCCCATATAAAATAGCAACCCATCCCCGTATGACATTCCTAAGTCATCTTCTCCTGCTTTAATTTTCTCTGTCATGCCCTTGACTGCCTGATATATTAAATATTTGTCGGCTTACTGTCTTTTTCCACACTAAAATGACTCAGACAAAAAAACACACAGAGAGAAAAACAAGTAGAAGAGGAGAATAGAGCATGAGAAGGTGTTGTCTGAAATAGGGGAGTTAGGAAAGGCCTCCTTGAGGAAATGAATTGGATACAAAGCCTAGGTGAAATGAGGGAGAATCAGGATGAAAATGGGAAAGAGAGGCTTGAACAGCGTGCCCCACTCATATCTCTTTGTCCTTCTTTATTCAGGTAAGTGCCAATGACGTCCTTCTGCGAACACCTATCGCTCCTTCCTGAAGGCTTTCCTCAGTCTACACATGGGGCAGGTCAGATGCACGGGGGCAGTGGGTGAGGATTAATACCCCTCAGCCAACAGCCCTCAGCAAATGACGGCAAGCAGTTAGACAATCAGGACCATGGATCCAGCCAATGATGGCGAGGAGTTAGAGAATAAGGACCCCTGGCTTCTTCACCCTTTCGATGGGACAACTCTGAGTCATGTTCAAAACCATCTCCCAGAGTCCCCAGTGGGACTGAGCCCACATGCCCACAGGGGTAACCTGCTCCAGGACACGTTGTTTTGGCTTTCTTCCCTTCTGTACCTGCCAGTGCTTCCTGGGTTCACCACCCGCTGGATTCATTCACATTGAAATCCTCATCTCAGAACGCAATCTAAGACAGAAGGGAGCTCACCTGATTGCCGGTAGCTTTTTAGCCTTGAGATGGGGAGTCTGTGGGGGTGACATGCAGTGGGAAAGACGCCTGTGCCTGGGGGAGCTGTGTGCAGGGCTGGCCGCAGGCACAGGGAGTGGGGTGCTGCAGCTGTCTAGGGGAGGCTTGTGATCTACACATCTTTCACCACTCCACACAAAACAGAATGCAATATTCAAATCAGGCTGAGGTCCTGGAGGGAGAGAGCGGCT